AGAAATGACAGTTTGGGGGTTTTTTGCACTTTTGCAGGGCGTTTTTGTGGAGACACACTTCCAGCTCAGATTATCTCGACCGACAGCCGACTGTGGATTGAATTCAGGAGCAGCAGCAGCTGGGTTGGCAAAGGATTTTCAGCTATTTATGAAGGTACAATGCTCAGTTTTCCCGTGCATCTCCTTTTGGTACAGATGTGAATTTGGCCATATGAAAGCAAGTCTGTGACTGTAATCAACTGCTGCTTATGTCACTTCTCACCTCCTGCGCAGCCATCTGTGGAGGAGAGGTGAAGCGGGAGAGCGGCCAGATCCAGTCGCCTAATTATCCTGATGAATACCAGTCCAACAAAGAGTGTGTGTGGAAAATCACAGTGGCAGAGGGGTTTAATGTTGGCCTCTCCTTTCAGTCATTTGAGGTAAAATTACCTCTTTTGTTGTTATTCCTGCATTCTGGCAACGTGCTAGCAAATAAAATTAAAAGGTGGTCCCTGCAGTGAATGGTGCAGTTGGCATATAGAGAAGAATGGCCAACCTGGAAAGATTTAAAACAGTCTTAGCTAGTTTGCAAAGATTTTAATGTGCTGCTATGGTGGAATTTGTTTTATTAAACTTGTTAAATAATTAGCTACTATACTATAGTACTATAGCAACTTTTTTAAACTTTGGAAACTCTACAGAGTGTCAGCAGAAAAAAACCCATCTCACTTTTATTGTTTGTGGATGGCGAGGATGATGCTTTGGACAGACTTCACAATCCTCTGCTGTAATGTCTATTAGCAGACTTTTGTGTCCGCGCTGTGCAGATTGAGAAACACGACAGTTGTGCCTACGACTACGTGGAAGTGAGAGACGGCGCTTCAGAGAGCAGCCCGCTGCTCGGACGTTTCTGCGGGTACGACAAACCAGACGACATCAAAAGCACCTCCAACCAGCTCTGGCTCAAGTTTGCTTCTGACGGATCGGTCAACAAAGCTGGGTTTGCGGCCAACTTTTTTAAAGGTCAGAAGGTCATTTTAGCAGCAAACAATCTGGCAGCAGTGAGACCTGTTTGATGCATTTGTCTGGCACAGAAAACTAGTAATTGCCATTTTCTTTTGTTAGAGATGGATGAGTGCTCCAGACCTGACAATGGTAATTGCGAGCAGCGCTGTCTGAACACACTGGGTAGCTACAGATGTGCTTGTGACCCGGGGTATGAGCTGGCAGCTGACAAACACACCTGTGAGAGTGAGTTTACAGCCTGACTGCTCATATTAAATTATTGTCAACTTCAGAATGCCACTGCTTCACGATATGAAGTACACTCTGACGAGTATGTTCCCTCTACATGATATATACTCACTATGTACACCTTTAACTGCTCATTAACCAAATATCAAATCATCAAAACATGTCAGCAAGACAGTATATTTAGGTATGAAGAAATGGTCAAATGATCTGCTGAAGTTCAAACTTGAGCATCAGAATTGGGAAGAAATGTGACGCTGAACTTATCAGACGGACTGTTCCGAGCAATTTTCTGGGATTTTCCCACACATCCATCTTTAGTATTTACAGAGAATGGTCCAAATAAGTAAAAATAACCAGCAAGCATTTAACATTTAAGCATTACCACTCTCGGTTTATCAGAATTTACCAGATATTTAATGTTAGCTTTGGCTTGGATGAATAGTGGGTCTTGTCTGAGTCTTGTAGCCTTGAAGATGGCAGCAGATGTGCATGGCCGTGTAGTAAATCGGTGTGTTGCCCCCGACACTTTTCAAAGAAATAAGAATTTACTCTTGACTAACTTGACTCTCAGTTTCTCAGCTTTTAAAATACACCAACTTCTTTAAATCCTTAAACTATAGAAAAAACAAAAACTTTGCAGATTCCTCTGCTTCCATCAGTGACTCCACTGAAGTGTTGTTGCTGTATGTCTCTGCAGGTCACCATGGAAACACTTCATGCAAGTTTGTGTAGTTGTAAACTAAACACTATTTATTTATTTTACACTACACTATTCTATACTTTATTTATTATTATAGTGTGGTATATTAATATGTATATAAATATACTAGGCTATAGCTTCCCTAGTTCACTGCTGTGAAAAATCAGTGTTAGGGGTTAGAAAAGAAAGATGGAAATTCCAACCTGCAGTGATGAGGTTGATGAGGTGTCTTAGGGGTTAAAACACTGGGTCGTTAGCTTTGCAGGGGAACGATGCATAAATTTGAAGCCTGACAGCATCTCTTGTATATGTAGCTCTGGTCTTTTGGATAAAGTGGCCCTTTAAAGAGCTCAGCGGCAGAGACCTTTTTGTATTTTGTAAAACCTAAAGCCCCACAGCATAATAATAATAATTCTAATAGTTTATATGAGAAATTCATTATTCATGAGGCTACCTCGTGTCATTTTTTCTTGGATACTAATGTTTAGAGAGGCCCCACTCACTATGGGAAACACACATGTGCACAATAATAATTCCATAATCCCTGCAGGTACTGACTTTAGAGGGAGAATCAAGACACATAATAAAGTTGAGTTTAGGTAAGGGTTCGAATTTTCAAAATAAAAGATATTTAAACCACCTCGTAAAACAGTCTCTGGTTAACAAATGAGTCCAGTGTGTGATGACTGCTTCCAACAGTATAATGTCACAAAGCTCAGATGATCTCAGACCGGCTTCTTGGCCAGGACAGTGACTTCACTGTACTCAAATGGCCTTCACAGTGACCGGTCCAATACACCACCTTTCAGATGTGGTGAAACGGCAGATTCACATTGTTAATGTGCAGCTGACAAATCTGTTTGTAATTTCTGTAGTTTAGAATTTCTGCCATGTCATGCTTAATTTTACGGTAGTGCGCCTAAGCTGTCAGCTCTATTATGCCTAAAGTTAAATCCCACATCTTTTTTCCCCTGTGCTATAAATAGATAGATGTAAACCTAAAGTTATATAGGCCATATATATATGATTTCTGATAATAATTCTGAATATTTGGGACTCGCAGGTGTTACTAGAATGAGATTTTTACCTTGTTGAGTCATGTTTCTACCACATGAGGGCAGCGCTCCCCTGTTGTATCTTCACTAAGAACTTATATCTTGATTCATCGTTTTAAAAGTGTTTGCAGACACAAATAGCAGTAGGAGCTGACGTTTACTCTCATTTTAAAAAAAATAACAAATAATCTAACTAATGGTGTTAAATTTAAGGATGTCTTTTTCTCATTTTAGTACCACAATTTCAAATCCATCAGTTTAATTATTTCGATTTTTAAAAAAAAAAACAAAAACATTCAGTTCAATTTTTGTTTTTGTTTTCTTCTGTTGTTTCTGGGATTTGGGGTTTTGTTTTTGTTTTTTTACTTTTACCACTTAAATCTGTGTTTTTGCCCCACCAGCAGCTGCCTGTGGTGGATTCATCACCATGCTGAATGGCTCCATCATCACCCCCGGCTGGCCCAAAGAATACCCACCCAACAAGAACTGTGTCTGGCAGCTAGTGGCACCCATTCAGTATCGCATCACCCTGGTGTTTGATGTGTTTGAAACCGAAGGGAATGATGTTAGTGGGGTTTTTTGTGATTTGCTAGGAAAGTGCTTGTACACATGGTTAAAGAGCATTCAGCAGGAATAAATACCTGATAAAAATCTCTCGTGCTAAAATATATGTGTAAAAAAAATACATCAAGTGAATGACGCACATCAATACATTTATTAACAGGGATCATTTCTGTGTGTTTCCCATCAGGTGTGTAAATATGACTTTGTGGAAGTGCGCAGTGGGTTGAGCTCAGACTCAAAGCTTCATGGCAAATTCTGTGGAGCAGAGAAACCAGAGGTCATCACCTCCCAGCAGAACAACATGAGAATTGAGTTTAAGTCTGATAACACCGTCTCCAAGAGAGGCTTCAAGGCTCATTTCTTCTCTGGTGAGTTGACTGATGATTTAGGAAGCATAGAAGGAACTGCAGAGTAAATGTATCTGTTATGGTAACTGGAGGGACTCAAACGCAGGACTCCTT